ATAGATATAACAGACCGATTGTGAACTTTGTAAATGACATGTGTGATGTAAAAGAGAATACTCGTGAACTATCTTCAGAACTATTCAGTGAGTTTATAAATGCTATGAAGAATTATATAAATGTTATAGTTTTCATATCGAGAATCATTGTTATGTCTGACTCCAAGGGGTAAAGACATGGGTTGTTTTCCGCCATCCTATCAAATCGGTATTGAACGGTTATTTAATCGCATACGCTACATCTTAGCGTGCTGTGGAGGGATGATTGTAGTCAAAAACTCGGAGTTTTGCGATGGACAAAGTCCTCAACCAGATCTACTACGATCTTCGAAGCGCGGGAAGTTTTTTGGGGGTGGATGCTGTTTTCCGTGCCGCCAGAGAAAAGGGATACAAAAAGATCAATCGTAAGCAAATCAGAGACTGGTTAAAGAGACAAGAAGTGTACGCGTTACATCAGCCTGCTCGTCGAAGATTTCCTACCAATAACGGGTAAATGCTCTCTTCCAAATCATGAGGTAGTCCTTCTACGAACGAAATGTTTGGGATGTTAACTACCATTTCCTCGTATGCAGGTTGGTGCATGCCATAACACCATATGATATTTTGAGGAGTCCCATCGAACATGACATCAGCATTTTCTAAAAGTTGTTTAACGAATTGAGTTTTTCCACAACAGGTGGGCCCGGCGATAATGGCTCCAAAAGGGTGTTTCAATCTTGTGTCCATTTCAACAGTAAATGGACCAAAAATCATTTGTCGACTGATTTATATAACTTTTTCTCCTATGGGTGACAAATCGTGAACTTGGGCTAAATGATTAGAAAGTTTAACGAGGTATTTGGACCCACAATGTGATACTGGACGATCTTTACAAACGCGGCGACTCATATTATCACTAAAATGTGTTGTAGAAAAATGAAAGTAGAATTTGGAAACGAGGACTTTTATCCAAATTCGAGGGACAAAAGGGACAAAAGGGACAAAAGCATGCGCGTGTTTCATGTTTCAAATGTCATGTTTATTCAACAAAAACATTGTGTCAAAACTAAGTAAACAATCATATGATATGAGATTACATAATTTTTCACAGCTATTTGATAATGTTTAAATATCTAAGGGGATTGTGGTGATACCATCCTCTAACACTATKCGCTTCGGATAAAAATACGAAAACCCGTTCCGAATTTGATTGTACGTGTAAATACTGTTATTCACAACTCTGAAACCTTTGTTTTGACCTGCACTACTTTTCTTTGTAAGCAAGACACTAAGGTATTTGTCTTTGTCGATGCAATTATTTTTCTTACTGATCCCTTTRCACGAAAACTTATCGCTATCCCCAAAGCAGTAGTAAGTCTTAGAACAAAGACCTATAATACCATCCCCTGACCACTCTTCTTTAAACAGTCCCGGGGTACGCTTATCGTATGCTGCATTTGCAGCACTGTCGGTTCTCGGAAACCAGTTGSAYATATYTTGMTTAWAATCMTCTTTCAAYTCKGGCYTSACKARTTSCTCGATACTTTCCCCAGCTAAAGCAATATACGCAGAGTCTGTATCCATTTCGCAATATTGGAAATCAYTCCTRTCTAYATATTTGTCAATGAAATCAAAGTARAACTGAAGCATACGCAAYTTTGCATATTGATAWACRAAGAAKCCRATCTGGAGAGGTAGATTCAACTTGATGCGTTTCTTACAYGACTGCACYTCGTATGTAGTATCGTCAATAAAATCTATCTGCCTAAAATATGGGGAATTAATAAGCTGACTTGCTTTATTCTCTTTGCAAAATTTTACGTCTCGATGYCTCTCTTGATCTGTAATAGTTTTTCCGTAGCTTGAATTTCCAACCTGGGAATAAAAAGTAAGAACATTAAAAAACACATAGTACAGAAGGGTGGTTTTTTTTTAGGCAGAAACTTACCAACTTCATGGTTTCAGCAATGATGGCTTTATTGGGATCTGCATCTCCAGCACGTCTGGCATTGGATACTGACTCACCAAACGGTTTGAAGCAAGACATGGGAGTGTACTCAATCACTTGGTAGATTCTGGTTACTTCAAGCCCATGATTCAGGTACCATCTTACAAGRGGAGTGGCCAACAGTATTTTTTCTCCAAAGTAACTGCCTATCAGACTCCGTCGCGGAGTGGGCATGATGTTTTGTTCTTCAGCGAAGRRCATCATATGCTCGCCAATATCTTCACGACTGATTTTCGTATTCTTRAAAATGGGGCACATTTCACTAAACTTGGACTTTAGGTGTTCGGGGACCCGTATATCGCATTCAAGGCAACCAAACAGACTCCCATTCTTTATACCATCCAAAATTTGCTTTTGAGTCAGGGTCCAGTGACTGTCTAGTGGCCTTTCAAACYGTTCTTTTAAGAAGTCTCTCAAGGAAGGATTGGCTCGCGTTAGCTCTCGCCACTGACATTCCCACATTTCTACTAAGGAATATCCCTCGTTGCGTATGTACTGGGAATTTCGTCGAGTTTCCTCTAGCAGCTCCACCATAGGTTTCTYCCTCCTCTCGTTATACTCTTTCCCTTCAGTCAAATGACAGTCATGTCCATGCCACCAGCAACCTGATTGAAATAATTAAGCAAAGGAAAGACGGTATTAGTTTGATCTATAGGAATTCTTCCAAGAAAGCTGCTTYAACTTGTTGTAGTATAATCAACAAGTCTCCCTTCCTGTAAACAATTGACATAAAAGTAAAACAAATATCTTACCGTGAAATTGAAAAACAGTACTCGATGGACCATGGAAGCCATCTACTGGTAGTTKCCTGTCCCCAATTCTCTTTTCCGTATCGTTCATATCGTGACGAATTGATATGTTCCTCTGATGGGCTTCCCACTCTAACCACTTYGTTGCCATCCTAATGCTGGTTTCCCTCTTGAAGAGATTTTCTTCGCGTCGACGTGTGTAGGGTCCAGTTGGCATATCTCGCAYGATGGCCCATAGATATAGCGCGTTAGCGTCGTAACCAACTACTTTCTGACATGTCTTTGGTTTCTTTCCCAGGGCTATCATTTCTTTTTCTCTGATTTTGGTTTCGTGTTTTTCATGGTACCTGTGGAAGATGATACTTGGACCGCCCACCATGTTAGACTTGAATAGCGTGTAAAGATCTTTATTTTTCTCATTAAACAACGAGAAATTAATACCGGGTTCTAGTGTCTTGAACAGATAGGTGAGAGTCACGCCAGGTATGGAGA